CTAGGGAAAAGGACAGGCTGGATGATATGAGATAACTGTGACTCAGAGAAATCATCCTGCCAGATTGACCCCAGCTTCATGCCCTTGTGCCCCTTCACTGTCTGAGTGTACAGTAGAGAGGTCAGAGGACAGAACTTTCTCTGCAAAGCTGCCACTTCCCCTCTAGTTTGTTTTCCCCACAAAAAGATTCCCCTTTACCCCTGAGTACTCATTAGTTATTGGTTGTGGCATTTCACTTGGAAATCTCTGGGGATAGTAAACTTAGGGGTGTGTGAATGGATATCACAGGGCTAAAAGGGTTAGTATGGGAAACAAGACAAATTAATCCAGAAGTACACAGTACACTGACAAATGATAATGGTAAATTCTGAGATAGATAATACCATGGAATTAAAAGTCAACACAGGGGGCTTCCCTGGTGGCGCAGTGGTTGAGAGTCAGCCTGCCGATGCAGGGCACACGGGTTCGCGCCCCGGTCCGGGAAGATCCCACATGCCGCGGAGCGGCTGCCCCGGTGAGCAATGGCCGCTGAGCCTGCGCGTCCGGAGCCTGTGCTCTGCAAGGGGAGAGGCCACAACAGTGAGAGGCCCGTGTACCGCAAAAAAAAAAAGTCAACACAAAGACGCTAACAGTACGGTGCAAGTTACTTTAGATCCATGCAACTTGCAAGGAAAACAAACTGGTCATTAATTCATTCAAATTTTATTTACTGAGTGAGGGAGAAGAACCTTGTCTCCCAAGTTTAAGGTCTAGTTAACATAAATCAAAAGTCCACTGGACTTTTAACAAAATAATTTGTGTAAACGGTTAGGTCTTTTAATTCATAAGCCATTTCATTTCTTTCTTTTCTTTTTCTTTTCTTTTTTTTTCTGCTGTACGCGGGCCTCTCACTGTTGTGGCCTCTCCCGTTCCCGAGCACAGGCTCCGGACACGCAGGCTCAGCGGCCATGGCTCACGGGCCCAGCCGCTCCGCGGCATGTGGGATCCTCCCGGACCGGGGCACGAACCCGTGTTGCCTGCATCGGCAGGCGGACTCTCAACCACTGCGCCACCAGGGAAGCCCCAGCCGTTTCATTTCTTAAAACGTATCTATCAATAGGACGTTCTTGCATAGTTCTTTCACACTTTCATGTGTGAATTTGAGGACTAAGCGATTCTTTTACTTAGCATTAGAACATATTCTTGAGAAAAGAACTCTGCATATTGTCATTTTACAAAAATATATGTGAATATAGTTTATGTCGGGGACTGACTGTGTAAATTCAACGCTGCTCAAATGGGGTAGGACCCAATTAAAGTTTATGTCCAAGGCCCCAAGGTCCTGGGAACCCTAATTACATCCTTGCCATATATCACAGTGAAAAATCCTCTCATTGGGAAGTAAGTCTTTAAAATTACACTAGAAAATAAAAATAAATGATTCAAGTTTTCTACTTTTTAAAATCCCAGTATTATGTTAAAAAGACAACAGAGAAGCCAGTAAAGTGACAGGTAATGAAAACAGTACAATTTATGAGGTATTTATTAAAAATTATAAAAACACAAATCTCTCTCAAACCAGAATCACATCTCTTGCTTTGTTCTATGTAGTTTTCTTCCATATCCCTATAAATCCCATTACATATTTCAAGAAATCATCTTACCCATTTAAATAAAAACATCAAAGGACTTAGTTAATTTTCCAACAGGATTAATAAATTTGAATAGAATAATTTCAGTCATATGATTGTCTGCTCATGACCAGCGGTTTTAAATTAGTATATTAAGTAATTTAGACACTTTTCTTTGCAAAGCTTGCCTGATTTAGTACATTCCCATATGCCTCCACACGTGCTAACACTACCAGGTTATCTTCAATCTAGCTGCCATTATGGGAGTAGCTGCCAACTTTCAACCAACTGTAGAGAATAATGAATCAGCTTCAAGTTGGCTCATATGTAAACTTCTACTGCTCCCAGCTAAAACAGGGGCCAATTTCAACTGTAAAGAAAATTAATTTAAAAGATTTCACCTCCACTGTTTGAGAAACATGGCACCACGAACACCACTGAACTAACAGCTTAAAAGCATGCAGCTTTATGTAAAATTCCATAGTGTGGATTTCAGTCTTAAATGCTGTAGGTTGTTTTAAAGATTGGATTTTTTGAGGAAACAGATCAGGAAATGCCTCATCCCTAAATTCATAACATGAATATTTGAGAAGCCTCACACTGCTGGAGAAAAAAATAAATAAATGAGACTCTTGTTTGTTAAAGGTTCATTACAAAAAAGACTTCAAAGGCTTCAGAGGAAAAAAGATGCAAATGAAAAGGGCCACATTTATGCTCCTTCTGAAAAACAGAAGGAGTGAACACCAGACACACCATTTTAAGTGAGAGCCATTGTATGAATTTAGTGTTAGGCATAAACTAGGGCAATGTGGTAATATCAGACCCTCTTTCTAAGAATGACAATACTGTATTAAATTTTAATAAACATCGAACAAAACAATTTTATGCTGGATCAGTTATCCAGACTAGTGGTTCTATAGAAACCCCTGAAACTTTGGTGTTTCCAAGAATCATGAATCTATTTGGCATAAAGCTATGCTAGCTTTTATAGGGAAAAGTAAGCAGATGTCAGAGCAGAAGAGTACTAAAATATTTCATTTATTTCTAAATGTCCAACATAGTTGGAAATTATTCACTGGATAGATGAACTTCCCTTAGAGGACAGGAAAACCTTTCCAAAGAGTAAAGTTAGATTATATAGTCCTTACAAGATTGAGGCTATACTATTCTTTACAAGCAACAGGATAGACGGGACAAAACATACAGTTTTTTGGTTCTGATGAATTGTAAAACTATATATAGTACAGAGTTAATTTTTTAAAAAATCACCTGGAGATGCTAACTGGCTAGACTCATATTCTCCAGTCCCAGTGAGTCGCAGCACTTGAAACTGAAATTGTGGATGGATGGGTGGGATAGGTTGTCTTCTCTAGGCATCTCTAATTCCTCTCCAGGGATCTCTGATATTTCCAGTGCTGGAAATACTGGAGATCCCTAGGTAGGTTCTGGAGTCTTCCACACAGTTGGGACAGTTCTAGAAAAGTCACATGGATGCCACAGTGTATTTCAGAATCCAAAGAAAGAATAATGAGCTTAGTACTATCTTCTAATACTTTGATGGGATCATCTTTTGACCCCTATTTAGCTCATGGATGCTGTTGAAACTGTTCAAAATGCAACAGATTTAAAAGGTCCATCTTTGGAGTAACATAAAAGGCTAAAACTTGTTGGGAAATTGTTGCCCAGTTAAGTAGCAACATTAATTTCCCAAACAACTGAGTCAGCACTCACCCAAATGGAGGTAAAAGGAGCTGTTGATTCCTTAACCTCACTGAATCACATTAACACAACTATTTGGAAAGTGTTCTAGTCCATTCTGTACAACAGGCTGCATGTCTACACTCGGCAAAATCTTGTGCAACAGGTATGGACTGTGTGCATTAATTGCTACTGCTCTAGTAAGCAAAAGGCAAGAAATTTCACAGGTGTAACCAATTATTTGCAATTCTGAAAACATGCTGTTCACCAGCACCAGCGTGCCCAAAAGGACTCTCTCACATGAGACAAGTTTACCTATAATAAGCTAGAATAAACGCAAAGGAGGGATACAGGCCAACAACAGACATCTAATGTAAAAATCCTTATTCTATAGCCTTGCTCTCAGTTCTGTTCAAGATCAGGAAGTATCAGAGATCCATCATTATTCTGTTTTCAACTTTGAAAGTTGTATATACTTAATGATTATAATTATGAAATCTTAGAATAAATATACTTTCTATTCACTGATTTGAATATTTGAACAATTAGCTGTATTTGCTTGAATGCACACCAAGTGTCTTTATTTCTGGTAGTTAGGATAATCAAGAAATGCCTGGAGGTGAAAAAAAAAATTAGACACGTAAAGGGAAGATGAGGAAGGAAGGAGAAAGTAAACAGAAGAAGAAAAAGATTTTTAAAAGATCTGTATGTAGTCAGGATAAGTGACTAACTGAAGGTGGAAAAAATAATTGCTTACAATTTGTATAAAGCAATTGTATCCACGTAGTACTTGGTACAAAGGTATACAATTATAAGCAAGAAGATGGAAATAAAGAGTTGTATTTTAATTTAGAAAAACAACAGAGGAAAAGATTATGGGAAAAAATTATGGAAAGTAGAAAGACCCAGGCCACAAATATGCCAAGATAAATGACACATAGCCCCAGTGGGGAGAACAGTGCCCCAGACGAGAATGTTCTGTATGACCTTGGCCAGCATTATTTCCTGCCTTTTATAATCACAAAAGGCATTCAACGTTTGGTGATGATGAGAAGTAGGATTTTGAAGAATATAATTATAGGCTGCAAGTGTTTTCTGTGGAAGCAAAATTATCATTCATGTCTGAGATTGTGTAAATGTGCCTTAATTTTGGTCAATGGCAATTTGAACTTTAAAAAAACAGAATCCCAAAATCTCCTTATAAATCCCATTCTGCAAGAAGATCACAAGGATAAGTGTGTAAAAGCAAAGACATTCTCAGATACTCTTCAAAAACATGGTATCTCATAGAAAATTATCTCTTTTGTAGTGACATGATTTGACCTACCTCCGTGTCAAAATCAGTTGACAACTTCAAAAAGCCACATTAAAGGAAATTTAAGCAGAGCAAAGCTAAAGCAGTTTTCATCTACTAGGTCAGGGACAGAAATGATCACAATGCACATTACCTTAGGAAGACTGGCAACCTTACACAAATTAATGGGGTGCGATGCACAGATGGAAGGTGGATAAAACTGAGGGGCAAGAAGAAACCACATCAAGGGTGTCTAAGGAAAACTTAGAGGCTTTGAAAGCTTCGAAAGTCTCACCTCTCTCTGGTACCTTTAATTGTGGCTACCATAAGTGCATTTTTGCCACATGCTTTTAAAAGAAAAAAGGAGATGGTTCTTTCTTAAATGCTAACAGACTTACTTGTCTTTCAGAAAATCCACTACTCTTTTGAAGTCAGCCACGCAGTATTCTCTTTTCATTTCTGTGAGCACAGTGTCAGAGGCAGACTGGACTGGTATGTGCAGAAAGGCATAGACTCGGGGGTGATTAAGGATTTTTGCCATTTCCTTGAAAAAGATGGAAGGAGAAAACAATCACTGTAACAAATCAGAGAATGGTTTCCCTCAGATCAATTCTCACGAGTACAAGCAAATACACACAGCTGAAAACGGATCAATCTTCTAGGCTCCCCGAGTGAAAGTCCACCGGCATCACTCTAGGGTGACATCTGGGAATTTAACATGACTTTCGGAGGAGTTCACAGAAGTGTTATTTCCTCACGGTCATTGCCTCTCTTAGGTGACGAAACAGACATAAACTCATGTAATGCCTAGAGAGTAAAAAAGATTTTTGCATACTTCAAAATAAAAACCACTCCTCCCTTCCCTCAAAGCAGTGTTATATTCTGCCCTGTTGCATTAGCAGCAGAAGCAGCGACATTTAAGGTAAACGGTCAAAGCTGTAGAATCCTGTGCACTTGAGTAAAGTTCCCAAATTTAGGGCAAGTCAACACTTTTTTTTTTTTTTAAGACGCTGAAGGAGAAAAAGAAATCTGTTAACTCACCTGTTTCTTCTTTAGCTAGTTAGCAAACACTTATTTTTGAGTATCTACTATGCAAAAGGCAGAGTATCAGACAATGAAGCCAACCAGTTCACCAATGGTCACCTACTGCTATCTACCTTTAAGCTGCAGAGTTCCAAAGAAGAGAAATAAGGAGAGAGCAGAAAGAAGACTCTGTCCTGCGAAGTTAAAGAGAGCAAGTTTAAGCGAAACAAATTAGGAAATTCAGAGATTGTTCTAAATTCCTCCAAGGATACAAAGTGGGTAGAAAAAAAGAGTGGTAGAAGGAAAACGGTGGTAAGGAAACCATTTACGTGAGCAGAAAGAAAAATGTGACTAATTTATGGCCCATCAATGGGTTGGGGGAGAAGAAGGAAGGAGAAAAAGAGGGGGAGGGGAAGAGGGGGGAAAGAGAGAGAACAAACACTACCGGTCCAACAGAGAGGAAAATGTCAAGAAAGGAACTGCTCTTTAATAACTTGCATGTGTCCAGTGATTTTTAGTTTTCAAAGTACTGTACCATACTTTCACATCTGTCATCTCGTTTTGTCATTAGAACAGTATTTTGAAGGATCTTGTGGAGTCAAAGAGCCACCTAATTCCATACGGTCACCTCTCTTAGCTATTCAGGGCTCAGTCATGCATATGTATCACCCATACCCTTCACTCCTTCATTTTCTTTCCGTTGACTATAATACTAGTATTTTGACCAAAGTGGAAGAATAGAGTGACAAACTCAAACCATCTTCTTAGGAGCAGCTTAGTTGGTTTAAAAAATCCTTCTAAGAGATTCAAATAACCAAAAGACACTCCTCATGGATATCCTTTATTGACCTTCTCTTCCAGGAATTAATAGGGATATACCTTGTTATATATAGATTACTAAATTGGAACTGAAGTTCAAGAATTTCTTATTTAGCAGCAAAACAACTGGCTAACACATCATCTGAAGATTTCCTTCACAAAACTGTTACATTTCTTGGCTGGGTATTTAGTTAGAAGGCTCTTCATCTCCTTACTCAACACCTTCCATGTATAATAAGGCTGTGGGATACAGGGCAACATTTATCACTACCTACTCTACAATAAATATGTTGTCCTCCTGCTAGATTCTCTGTCTTTCAGGTTTTTCACACTTGAATATCAAGATTCTTGAACAGTGTGAGAAAAACAAATTATACAAAAATATCTGTTTTCTAAAGGCACAGGACTCAGCTTTAGTTAACTTTCAACATACATACTGTGGTAAAAAAAAATGACACCTTAACAAATAACACAATTTGTGAAATGAAATTTTACTCTCAATCTCTGTGCCTTGGTTTTCTCACCTGGAGAATGGAGATAGTGGTAATACCCACCTCACTGGGCTACCAGGCCGTTGTAAAAATAAAATAAGATAATCCAGTATGTGCTTATATGCTGGCTCTCAATACATAAATTATCTAACATTCTTCTTCCCTGGAGAGTATTTAAAGTTCATGGTAACACGTTTTCATGCACATGAATGGGAGTTTATCAATAAACAGAATAGCTTTTCAACAAGGCAGTCTCCTTACCTAGTAAGTGAAGGGGAGATAACTTGTACTGACTTGCAAAATCTAAATTTGAAAGGGGTTCCCAGTAAACGTGACCGAGGGCCAGAAAGGGTGCAGTTTCTGTTGGAAACACTCAGGGTGGCCTTCTCCTATAAAAAGGATACTGCACTAGATGAAGCATTGCCCTATTATAGTAGGACAATTTTCAAATTAAAATGTTAATAGCAAACAAGTAGGATAAATTTGGTGGGTTTTTCCCCTTTGGCTCAAAATTAGATTTCCCGCTAGTAATCATCTTCAGCTTCATACTACAGACTTTGCAACTTTGTAACAGTAGGCACCAGAACACAAAATAAAAATAAACTTGCCCCTTATTTAAAGTCTGTATTTCTTCTACTAAAAGAATCACGACTTAACATAGATTAATGTACCCCAAAGAGACAAAGTACATATTTTTTCTTTTGTTTTTCCTTTTAGCCCTCTTCTCACTCAGCACTGTTGGTTAAGAGTAACCTTTGGGCTACTTTCCCTTTCAAAATTCTTCTCTATTTTTAAGGTTCAGCTTAGAGTTACAGATTCTCTGGTGCAAGAGATGACTTCCTCCTCAGTGATTCCTCAGCAACCTGTTCCTGGTGTTACCAAAATATCTCCTTGGTTCTGCTTTGCAACATGGGTCATGCATCTCCAGATGGAAGATGGACAAGGGCTGCGATTATGTTTGACTCCTCTCTGGATCTCTACAATGGCTAGGACTGTGCTGAGTACACCGCCAAACATATAAACGCAGATCTGAGTCAAAACTACATCAAGATACAAAGAGAGAGATTTAAAATATAATTGCTATTTAATAGGAAGACAAATTTTCAATTAGTTCCATTTGGCTACCATTTATTTGGTAAATAAGCACATATTCAGGCAGGTAAACAAGCAGATAATCAGCCTGTTTTAATTTTAGAACAGTGAAAAATTATATATGAATATGTAAGTAAATATATATCTAAGAAAAGATCAGATTCTTTATAGGTAGCCCCATCATGGGTTATAATTCTAAAAGTCTGTCTGAGCCTTGGATTGGAATTACAATGTACATTCTTACAGAAATAATTTATAAATGGTGTGCCCAAGAACAGCAGCCATGAGCAACCCTAAGCTCAGAGCTGGGTAAGAGAGTCTGAGTAGACAGGCAAGTATGTGTGCAGACATGTGGGCACACAGGCCTGTGTAGGTCTGTGTGTGCATGCAGGCACATGTGTGTTTTAAGGAGCCCTGGTAGCAACTAGCATAGAAATAGTATCTATTTTAATATATGGTCATTTTTTATTTAAGGGTTGATGTACCAAGGCTGCTTAAGATAGATGGTGACTGTTTCATAGGTAAAGACCAGAGAATGTCTAACAGATCAACAAAACAGTATTTCTACCTGGTGTTTTCACATGGGGTTTTCCTATTACAAATTGGTGTTCATCTCACTGTTTGTGATTTTTTTTTTTTTTTTTGCGTTATGCGGGCCTCTCACTGTTGTGGCCTCTCCCCTTGCGGAGCACAGGCTCCGGACGTGCAGGCCCAGCGGCCATGGCCCACAGGCCCAGCCGCTTCGCGGCATGTGGGATCCTCCCGGGCCAGGGCACGAACCCGTGTCACCTGCATCGGCAGGCGGACTCCCAACCACTGCGCCACCAGGGAAGCCCCTGTTTGTGATTTTTTAATGAACTTAAAAAGCAAAGAAAAAGTAATGAATGAAAACAGGCTTAATTTTAAAAAGCAATTTATGTATGGTGCATTTTTAAAAGAAATGTTAAGTTTCACTTTTATTGCCCAGCAGTCATCAAATTAATCATCATATTCTACCTGGTGTTGAATATATATACTACCAGCTGAACAAAGTCACTCAGTGTATATTAATACTTGCATTCAGATGTCTCTGCATTCACAGTGAAAGCCCTCTCAGATTATAGCTTTGTTAGGAAGTATTGTATCTGCATACTTAAAATGCTAAACTTTATGTAACATCGCTATGTTTTTTTTTTCAGCTAATCTAAGATATATGTTGAAGCAAGAAAATACCTCAAAAAAAAAAAAAGACAAACTATACCATTTACCCTTGGGCATGAAAAGATAGCTTATTTAACATATAATTCACACACCATACCATTCACTCATAAAATGTATGCAATTAAATGTTTTTTAGTATATTCACAAAATGGTGCAGTTTGCCTGGAAACTTCTTGTTTATCACTCAAAATTAAACTCCACTTGGGGTGGAACTTTCTGTGGCCCATACAACACTTAATTTCTTCATCCCCTGTTCTACTTTTGTAATTGATATACAATTCCATTCCAGTAGTCATTGAAAACTGGTTAAGAAAAAGGACTCAGCAGTCTGACAGGCTTAGGTTCTACATTTAGTTATTTCATTTACTGCTCTTCATTGGGGACAAATTATTTAAATGTCTCTGAATGTTCATTTTCTTCATTCATAAAATGACAATGTATCAGTAGGATGCATTAGGTTATGCTGTATAGCATACGATCTCAAAAATCTCAGTGGCTGAGCCCGCGCGCCACAACTACTGAAGCCTGTGCGCTTCAACTACTGAGCCCGCGTGCTGCAACTACTGAAGCCCGTGCTCTGCAACAAAGAGAAGCCACTGCAATGAAAAGCCTGCACACCGCAAGGAAGAGTAGCCCCCGCTCGCGACAACTAGAGAAAGCCTGCGTGCAGCAACGAAGACTCAATGCAGCCAAAAATAAATTTAAAAATTAAAAAAAAAATCTCAGGGGCTTATAACAACAAAAATGTAATTCTTCTTCATGCTACATATCCTTCATGGACTGGCTAATAAAGCTTTGCTCAAGTTGTTTCCACTTGCAAACTGTAAATGTGGAAGAGGGGGAGGAAAAGAGAATCATTGGCTTAAACCTTCTTCCCGCATTTCACTGGTTGTTCCAAGTCACACAGCTGCTCCTGAGC